TTCATTGGAAGGACTGATGCTGAAGCTAAGGCTCTAATACTTTGGCCACCTGATACGAAGAGCCAGCTCACTGGAAAAGATCCTGATGCTGGAAAAGATGGAGGGCAGGAGGAAAAGGGGGCAAGAGAGAATGAGATGGTTGGATGGCAACACCAACTCAATGGACATGAGTTTGAGTAAACTCCGGGAGATAGTAAAGGACAGGGAAGCCCGGCATGTTGCAGTTCATGGGGTCACAAACAGTCAGATATGACTTACTGACTAAAAAACAACATGAGTAGACTTAGATAGCAAAACTAGCTTAATTAGTGGAAGTTCTAGGGATAGGTTTTCAGCTCTGTAAGAGGAAGCCTTTTAAAATAATTAGACCTCTTTAGAAGACTTTGAGAATGTAAAATAAAAAAGGAAAATGGATAAATCTGCAACTATAACTGGAGATTTTAAAACAAAACTTTCAGCAGATAAAAGCTTGGATACAAAAGATTTGAAGAACATTATTCACTAGTATAGAAATAGTAAAAGTACCCAATAAATACTTCAGGGTGTACATAGAACATAAGCATAGGCTGATTATTACTAGGTGACAAAAGAGGTCTCAATAAAGTCTAAAACAGATAAACAATATAGATTAAGTTCTTATATTATTAGGTAGTAAAGTTAGAAAAATAACAAATTTTAAAAAGCATATTTAAAAATCCCTAGAAATTAAAACAAAACAAAAGCCAGGAAAAACCCAAAAACCCTTTTAAATAACACATAGGTTAAAAAGGATTTCATAAAACAAATTACAGAATACTTAGAAAGGAATTATGAATTATAATGAAAGTGGTATATGTCAAATTTTGTATGATGTAGTTAATGTAGGTTTTAGAGGATAATTTTTAGCTTAAATACATTTATTTTTAAATAAACATTATAAGAGAATGATATATAAAGTCCATGAGACTGGGTTTCAGAAGACAAACATTCAGCTAACTAGAGCTCTTCAAAAAGCAGCAGCTTTGGAATCTATTAGAATCCTACCCCCAACCCACACCTCCCATGTGTCAGGTATATCATCCTTGGCCAAGTCATTTAATCTCTTTGTCTGTAAAATGGGGAAAACATTTCTTTCCTCTCTGAGCTGGTCTGAGAATTAAATAATTCACCAAAAAGCACTTAGCACAGCATAGTAAGTGCTCAATAAATTATTCCTGTTACTAAATGACCATCATTTCTTCCAACTCCTAGATCTCAAGATTCTAACTCTGGCATAAAGAAATTTAAGACAAGCATGAATTCCAGACACAAAAATCTAATCAATAAATTAAACCTTCATTTTAATTTCACAATAATAAAAGTTTTGTTTAAAATATATTCTTTATTCCCTTAGGAAAGATATTAAAATAATTTGTTGTACCTGTTATTATTATCATCATTATAGAAATCAAACACACAATGATCAACAAAAGCTAGTCTGTTATTCATAATATTAAATCCAAACCCTTCTATTTCAGAATCAAGTTGAAAGCAGAGAAATGTTTTTAAGAAGTGTTAAAAATAAAGCCATAAAAACTGATTCTATTTAAAAAATATTCTGTTTTTTAATATATCTTTCAGAAAAGGCATGGAGTTGAAAATGGCCACTACTGGTACATTAACAAGTCTACAATTTCTTTTAAATCAAGTAGCACATAAATTGGTCTATAAAGGCTCTACACTTAATCATTTTTACTCTCCTCCAATGATGGTTACAGGTTTTTACTATTCCAATTCTATTTTTCATTTTGCTGGAGAACAAGAATGCTTTATAACCTTTAACATCCAGATGTAAAATTAAGTTCTAAAAACATTCTTCCTCATTTCTTCCCAGATATATCTGATCAATACCATTTATTACCTTTTCTTTAATTAGAAGGTAATAATACATGATACATAATATCAATACATTATTACAGATTTCTGGTTTCTTCACTTAAAATCATTTTATTTTTTAAATTTTTCTTCCAGAAGGAGTCACTATAACCTTTTACAGAACACTTTCCCTAACCCATCTTTAAAAAATTTATATATGTGTTGTTTAGTCACTAAGTCATTTCTGGTTCTTGCAACCCCACGGACTGCAGCCTGCCAGGCTCCTCTGTCAATGAGATTTCCCAGGCAAGAATACTGGAGTGGGTTGCCATTTCCTTCTGCAAAAGATCTTCCCCATGCAGGGACTGAACCAGCATCCCCTGCCTTGGCAGGCAGATTCTTTACCCCTGAGCCACATGGAAAGTCCCATATATACACGGGGGTTCTTCATAATTATATATCCATTGTATATTTTGGACAATGAGAGCAATCAGATTTTGAGCTTCATAGTTGGCTGGCTTTTGTATAGTTACTGTATTAAATGCTTCATACTAAAAATTTTTTCCTTCAATATAGTAGAAACTATGCCTCCCTAAGTCTATAAATCTAAATTTTATTACTTGTTAGCAAGTTTTCATTCCTGATTATGGGGTTATGCTCTTGTTTGTAGGTATCTCTCCCAAGGCTATAGCCTGACATTCTCAAACTGAGGGCAATTTATAAAGGAAGAGGGGAAGGAATTGTGATTAGGTAGCAACATGCTCTCATTTTTATGCATGGTTTAGCATGTAACCTTGGTTTTCATTTTATGCTGTGCACCTGGTCAGGTTTCTATATTCTTCCAGATCTCTTTGTAGTTTTCACAAAAGCATGACCCAAACACGACACGCACCATGGTTATTGCTTCTCATCACTGAAGTTATGGACAAATGGGTCAGACTGTGTCCTTGCATAGTTGTACGTTTAGGATACTGATCTTGCTAGAGCTGGAAAGCAACCAAGCTGAAAAATTTTAGGACTCACCTTTCATTTTTCTAATAAAGATAAAAATTCCAAGTGTTTAAAATAATGCCACTATAAATAAAAAGTTTTTTTAAATCTTTTGTTCCTAATAGATCACTGTAGCTATCTCATCAGCAAATGAAGACACTGACTTTGTATCTGTCCATTTGTCAACATATTAATAGTGTGTTTTCCCAATGAGATAATCAGCTCCATGAGGGCAAGGACAGTGTTTGACTTTTAACTGCCTATTTCACTTATAGCTTAGCACAGTATTACCTTATACTCTCTAAATAAGTATTTGTTAAAATAATGAATAAATAGCATATCAAATGTTACTGTTCTCTATAATGGTGTAATCTAGTAAAATAGGATATAAAGTTTACTTAGAATTTTAACATCTTTATAAGCTTCTCTTTAATTTCACAAGAAGTGTACATAACTTTATTTTTCAGGGGAAGGAAACAAACATTTATTGTGCCCATTATCCGTCAGGCACTAGGCACTTTGCTAGATTCAATGCTTTGCAGAAACATATCTTATCATCCGACAATCAAACAAACAAGTCTATTCTTACCTCTACTATTAACAGTGTCACTTTGGGAATTCTTTTAACTTTAATGTGCTTTGGGATTTTCCAGGTAATAGGTTTACCTCTCTCAACACTAATCACTTTCTTTAATTTCACTATTTTTAATGAAAACATTTTAAATATACTATTTCCACTTAGAGATCTTTCTGGCTTACTTACTGTGTTCTCAGCTGTGTTTGGGAAAACTGGAAATACTAAGTAAGTGACCTATGGATTAATGAGGTACTATTATTCTAATTCTGTCAAGCATTAGATTGATCAAAAACAAACAAAACAAATTTTTTGTTTTGCACTGTTAATTTTGTATAATTATTAATCAGCTACCAATGTAATTATTAAGCTTTCAATCCAAATGATGTTTTTAGTATAAAAACTTAGGTATTACTAATTGAGCTAGGATACAAAGCTCAAACAAAATTAACTTCTTCTGCATGACTGAATCTATAGTTGTTTGGTGGTTATCAATTCAACAAAAAAGAAGAAAATACGAAATCACCAAAATGGCTAAATTAAATAAGAATTAATAAAAAATTAAAAGGAGAAGGGAATGCAGGGATTATGAACACTTGGAAAATGCCAAAGTCAGAGGGAAATTTGGGAAAAAAATAAACACCAAGATCACAGACTAATAAAGAAAAATAAAGAAAAATTTACAAACTTTACTCCCAATCCTTAAGTGAATAATAAGCTTCCGATTTAATATTCAGTTTAGTAGCATTTCTACCTCCCCCCGGCACACACACACTGCAAAGGCACAAGAGAGACTTTGATAAGATAACCATGTGCATCAATGATGATCAAACCTTCTGTTCAAGTGGCCAAATGCCAGAAAAGACACAGTGAACTCCCACCCCTGGGATATCTGAGCCTGAGCCAGAAACTGGCAGCCACCATGCCAAAATTTTTATATTCATGTATCTTAAAAATTCATATATATTTTGCATGCCACTATATTACATACCAATGTGTTTCTAATATAATGTTTATAAGGGTTGAATTATTTAACTCTTCCCATTCCCAAATCTTCAAATAAAATGGATGTTCCAGGAAGATTTGCATAATGGTTCTTATGGCTTTTCCTTCCCCTTAGACAACACCAATATGGTCAGAGGGATGTGAGTATGGGTAAAAATGATATCCTATTATAATATGATAAGCTCAAGAGTCTCAAATAATCCTCAATAAATCAATAATTCAATAATCATTAAACAAAAGCTCTAATTCTCATGAACTTCACTGAAGCTAAAAAGTATGAAAGAACATTAAACTGGGCCCTGCAATCTTAAAAAGGTCTCTTCGCTTTTCAGCTACAGTTCTTATAGAAAGATCGATAATGATATCTTCCTGCTCCAATATGGAATTAGTGTTTCCCTAAGTACATTAACTTGAGAACTATTGAATTATCTAGGAGGATAGCACCACAATGAAACAAATAGTTGTTCTTTGCAAACGAGTGATTACCAGTACAGAGAACCTTCTGAAGGCTGCTGGATTGAAAATGACCAAAGGCAAAGACCCCAGGACAAAAAGTGTAAAAGTATGGTCATCCTAAAGACAGAAAGATGACACTCACCCTCATCCTGATAATCTGACAAAAAAGGTGCATCTGATGTAAAAGAAGGGCCATGAGTTCCACTGTGATTATCATCGGAGCTGTCCTGTCCAAGGTAATTTTCAGGTTGGTCTCCTCCTGAGGGACAAAAAAGAAAGGAAAAAAGGTCATACTTCTGACATCCTAATAAACGTCTTTGTAGATTCCTTCTAGAGGCCAGTGTTAGTCACTCAGTCTTGACTGACTCTTTGTGACTCCATGGTCTGTCCCTGGAATTCTCCAGGGAAGAATACCGGAGTGGGTTGCCATTCCCTTCTCCAGGGGATTTTCCCAACCCAGGGACTGAACCTGGGTCTCCTGCATTGCAGCAGATTCTTTTCCATCTGAGCTACCAGGGAAGCCCAGATTCCTTCTGGTATTTACCAAATATATATATCCATTAACATAAAAGAAACACATAAATAATCTATAGAACCAACCCACCTGGATGGGAAGTTTTCCATTCAACTAACTAGAACTTAGAAACTGTTAAAGTGAGGAGACCTTTTGCCACCAGAAAGAAATTTCCCCATCACACTTAAAATGAAAAGTTATAAAAATATCCCATTAATTATAACCTTTACCCTTAATGCCTCTATTTCCAAATGAAATAGAATAAATTATACTTCTATACATAATACAATGTAGCAAGGTCAAGCAGAGAAGGCAATGGCAACCCACTCCAGTACTCTTGCCTGGAGAATCCCAGGGTCGGGGGTGGGGAGCCTGGTAGGCTGCCATCTATGGGGTCGCACAGAATTGGACACGACTGAAGTGACTTAGCAGCAGCAGCAAGGTCAAGATTCTTTCCTTTGCTAAAAAATAAGAGAAGTAAAATTTGGAGAGAACCTGGACTATTCCAATTTAAATCACTACTTGTTTTGCAATTTTAAGGAAGTTCTGTTTATAATTCTGGTTTACAGCCTATGCAACCAACCTCTTAGGAATTCTAAAAACCCTAAGAAGGTAATATTTGTTCTGCAAAATGGCTTCGATGAAAGGTAATGTATATACAATTTTGAATAAGGCAATTAAAACAATGTTAATCTCTTTTGGGTGTTATTGACACACTAGTGGATTATATTTTGTAGAAGTGGCCCATGCTATTACAACACTTTAAAAGGTTTAGACAGAAGATGTTAGCTCATTCAGAAACCAGAAGAAAAGGCTCTGCATTGCAAATGGCTTTCCTCAAAATCCCCCAAACAGAGGTACAGTCTGCTGATAAAAGGACACCAACAGCTGCTCAGTTCATTTCACAAACATGAAAAGGGGATTTTCAACTGAATTTAATATTATCTCAAATACTAATTTCCAAAGGAAATCACCAATGCTAATCTCAGTAAACACTGTAGAGTTTTGGCCCTGGATTTCAACTAGGGAGCAGTGAAACCGAACAACCTACATAGAATCTGTATTGCCTCACTTTAAAGGTTTATTTCCTACAATTAAACTAGAAGGATAGGGAGGATATAAAATGATGAAAAGTGCAAAGCTGTAGCCTTCTCTTTCCATAAATTAGATGATCATATCTAGATTCCTCTGCAGACATTCAAAGATAGGTAGACATCCATAACTGAGTTGAACACCTGCAGATACAGAACTTTAAAAATAAACTGTGGAGTTTGTTGTGGAGAATAAAAGTAAAATTAAAACAAACAAACCCCTCACACAACAGTCACTGGCTAGAGTGGGAAGAAATGCTCTGTTTTACTAGGTTACTTGATCAAGATACAAAGCTTATAGTTCTGCTAAAGTACTGCTGAGAAATTTCTATTATAAGCAGAAAAATTCTCAAATACTGAACTGAGGGCTAAAATTCTCAAATTTTACATTGCTGCAAATCCACTGAAATTATATTATCAAGGCAATCTAAATGTACAGCCTGGCAGGCAACCCAAAAGTGAGCTGTGAGGTTAAAGGAATTTAAAAATTTTGAGCCAAACAAAAATCCAGTTAAAAATTAGTCATATGGGTTACCAAGCAAAATTTAACATTTGTAGGACATAATGGGCATTATCTATCAACTGTCACTCCAGATTCAAAGTTTTCTGCTTGCTCCAGAAATCTGACAAATCTACTCTTTCATATTTTAGCAGTCTAGGCTTTTTTTAAAAAAGCAAATCAGGAGGGGCTTTGCTTTTTTGTTATTTTAAATGAGCTTTTAAGTTTTGGAATAGTTGTGGATTTATTCTAAGTATTGCAAAGATAGTACAAGGAGTTCCTACATACTGTTCAACCAGTTTCTCCAATGTCAACTTTTTACATAACCAGTGTATACTTGTCAAAATCAAGAAATTAGCGTTGATACACTGCTATTAACTAAACCACAGACCTTATTCAGATTTCACCAGTTTTCCCACTAGTGTCCTTTTCCTGTCATAGGATCCAATCCAGTTATATTTAGACCTTCCATTTTTAAAGTATTATCCAAAATACCTGCCTGGATTTGGCATGCCTGGAGAATCCCATGGACAGAGAAGCCTGGCTGGCTATAGTTCATGGGGTCGCAAAGAGCTGGACACGACTGAAGTGACTTAGCATGCATGCATGCATTATTAACTTCAGATGGAAAAGTCACTTTCATGTGATTCCTATGGTATCTAAACATAGTTACTCAAGGTGAGTTTTTAACAGCTACCTCTGTGTTAAATACAAGACCATGACTCTGTAAAGTATACAACAAAGGTATACAACTCAGTGCAGGAAAAACAGAGCCTAGGTCAGTACTAAAAATGACTGCAGTGGGAGAAACATTTAAAAATATGTTTTACATCCAAGTGTAATTAGTTCCTGACGAGGGAAATGTTGCTGTAAGTGTTTTCAGTGTCATATCAAGTGGCCCAGCTCCCCTGGGCACACACAGAAAAAAAGCCAGTGACATTATATAAATAGACACTCCCGTGTAATTAAAATGATTACAATTATTCAAGATGCATGGGTAAAAAATTTTATAGAAGAACTAACAATTATTGTGGTCATTTTGGATTTGTTGAAGTTTAGAATATAATTTTTTCTTAAAACATAATCGGAAGTAATCTCTGGATTCATCTACAGCTCTTACAATTGCAGTTACAAGTGGCCACAACCACAGTCCAGTGGGATCAGACATAAATGATCACAAACTATAGTGACAGACATTTCCACCCAGTAGCTCTACAATTAGGGCTTAGAACTCCACCTGCTTTGAGTGGCTTTCTCACAAGCAAGACCCCTAGCCACTAGAGACACACTTTCCCATTGTAACTCGCTCAGAATCAATATATTTCTATCCAGATATATATATATTCTAACACACAATATCTCCATTAATCACATCCACTACCTTCAGTCCCTTCCTTTTGTATTTCTAAACAAGATCTGGGGGAACTATATTAAGGGTTCACATGCTATTAGCTGGTAATTTGCTCCTCTAATCCTAAGTGTCATAAGAATTGGGCACCAGAAACATCCCTTAGTATATTCAGTGGCAGGTTTCCACTGAGTATTGTGCTGAGGGGCCTGTAAGGAGGATGATTTCTCTATTGTTCTTTCCTTCCAGTCAAACTCCATTTCATTCATGCTCCACAGAGTGATAAGTTGGGAATTTCTGAGGGTTGGAGCAGAAAGATAAAGCAGCTTTGTGTCAGGTGTAAGGTAATTATTTGCTAGGGTTTCTGTGCTATTTGTTTTTATTCCCTGTGTTTTCATTAACAGCTAATGAGTTTTCTCCCTTAATTCTGAAACAATAGCTTGGCCACTTGAAGTTCGCTTTTTCTGCCATGAATTCAACCAGCTGTTGCTGCTCCATAAACTTTATGGAGAAGTGAATTAAACTGCTAAAAACTTTCATTTCCTAATTCAATTCCAAATAAAACAGGGAGGAAAATGAGCCATGGTGATGCTCCCCTTGTAACTATTTTGACTCACAGCAAATCCATCTGATTCTGAACTTGCAGGTACTATTCACGGATAAAAACAAACCATAATGATGATTTTACCAAGAAATGAGAGAAAAATTTACAAAGGCAGAAAAAATAAAAAAGCATAAAGCATAAGCATAAAAACATAAGAATAACAAATACAGCATATAAATATATGTTTGTTTATTCAATACGAAAAGGCTCAATGTGTTTTTTCATGTTACTATGAAGTCATTTTATTTTTCTCCTAATTAATTATGAGCTATATTATAAAAACCTTATGCACATCTGCAACCAACTATATGGTATGATTGAAAATTTTCTAGGGTTTGCTGTTACTTCACCAAGTTACCTTTGGATAATATAAGGAAACTGAAATTAATGTAAAATTGTCTGCGTTGTTTTTGCTTGCATTGGGAACATACAACTTCTGGCTCTATTTAACACTTAAGAACCTGTGAGACACACAGCTCCTTCTTTAAATTAATAAATCTTGAATAAAATGTCATAAATAAAGGTCTCTGATCCAATCCAGTTAGTTTTCATGCTTGATAGTGTTAATATTGCCAGATTTTCACAGACCAATTTCCTAGTAATGCAGTTCCCAAAGCTGAACTAAGGTAAGATTAGTAAAACTGCAGCTTTTATAACAATTCACCTAAATTATTAAATATAATACCAACTAAAGAAATATATTGAGTACATACATATCCATATATGTGAAATGTTATTCACATGTAAACATATTCTGGAGAACATTTGTAACACCAAATCTAAAGTTCTGTCAACACTTCCATTATAAATTAGATTATCATTTTGCACATACTCATGCATTAGAAAATGTATGGTGTTTCCCACAGAACATCTTAGAGGCTTCACCTATTTCTAAATATCCATTTCGATTTGCATGGTTAGTTCTTGTGATTAATCCATGTATAGTGAAGGTCTCAAATTCTTCTCTGTTCTATACAGCCTGACTTCCTGCCCATCTTTTGTTTTTTTTTTTGGGCCTCCTACATCTAGCCATAACTCAATGTATAAATATTCTTTTTTCCCCCAAGGCCCTGGAAGTGAGTATAATAGTACTGAATGTCATTAAGTCTACAGAACAAATGACAGCCCAGGTAAAGAAAGTTTCCATTTATCATTCTTTTAAAAAGTTGTTCCAACTAGATCTTGAATGTGCAAGAAATAAATTGAGCCTCTGACTAAGTTTTTTATCTTGGAATACTGT